GAGTTTCCTTCAGCTTGGTCGGCAGTTCCGCTTCGGAGCAGCTCGAGTATCACGCTGAATTGTCTGCATGATTCATCCATAAATGCTGATAGCTTCAAATCGACTTCTTTTACGATAAGTGATACGAGATTTTCTGGTTCGGTCATTGGGGCCTTCCCCTTCGATTGTGTTCGGGTGGCGATACCGGCATACGATTCCGCCGGTTCTGGCTCTGATACCATCTTGTCAGAAGGCTTAGATATGGTTCTGACCTTATAAAAGTTTAAGGGAGAAGAAGAAGAAGAAAACAGAGAAGAAGAAGAACGAAAAAGGGAGAAAATAGTAGACTTCTTTATTGATTTCTGATGTGTTTACAATCGATGAAAGGAGCCCTTTTTACAGGCCTAAATACGTTAAATAAATTCATTATTCAAGGCGGAACCAAGCTTGCTGGAGTTGTGTGGCCGGAATCTCGTGATGATGATGATCGGCGTCGTCTACAGGATAGATTTGGAAAGCAGAGGTATCGGCTGTGGAGTCTTGTTAGGGTAGGTCAACCCTAATTCCAGTAGTTCTTCATTTTTTCTGTTCTACCCTTTTGTGTGCATATTTCCTTTTTTGCCAGTCTTTCTGTAATAAACCTTAAGGGGTTTCTTGACATCTAGCGTCAAATCTACTACTATTTGTGGCAATTTTTATCTATTTTCTAGACAGTAATTTATGTCACAAGCCTTGTTGACAGTTGATCATTTTTTAATGTACTTGCAGATGATTACATTGCCAGCTGCAGATCCTTTTGACTTACTAAGGACATCAAGAATGGCAGCATTTGGTTTAATATTTCTTGGACCATCACAGCATTTATGGTTTAATTTTCTGTCAAAAGTATTACCAAGAAGGGATGTGCAGACAACTTTGAAGAAAATTCTTATGGGACAGACTATTTATGGACCTTGTAACAACAGCTTATTCTTCTCCTACAATGCAGCTTTACAAGGTAAATAGCGATCTTGAATGTCACAGTTTCAGGACTTTCAATCAAAATAGGGGGTCTCATTTTGCATTTTAAGGTAGTCTCAATCCTCAGAACATGCCTGGCTATTTTGATGGCCACAGCCTATATAAATTGGGTTTTAGCCTTTGTCAACTTTTAGGAGTTTAGGCTCTATTTGTTAAATAAAAATATCTTCATATCTTCATTTCCGAACTTTAGTATGTTTATGTATAAAAATATTAAAAAGTAATTGAAAAAAAAAATATTTAGGAAATTATAATGGAGTTTGAAAAGAACAAAAAGATCTGTTTGTGTTTTTACGGAAATTATTATCTTAATACTTGATTCTCCACAAATATACATACTACCAAACACGTTCAAGAATGATACATGTATAAACTTGGAAAATGAAAATTAAGAAATCTCATTGCTCGAACAGCCTCTTAGAAAGGAGAAGAAAATTTTTTAGAAAAAGAATTGGTATAATGATCCCAACCTGACGTGCTGCCCCTGCCATCAGGTGTTTGAACTTTGAAACCCATAACAATAGTTTGTGACCACTCTGCTTCATGGGAGCTTATTTTGCTTTGCGTTAATCTAGATGTCGCTATCTTTCTTGTTAGCCATTTGATTGCCCGTCTAGGCTTTTAGCTGATGCATCTATGATCCAATAGCCGGGAACATGGGAGTTCATTTCTAAAACTTAAATTGTTATCTAATGATTGTCAGGTTACCGTTTCTGTGCATGCACTGCATAAAATTTCTAGCTTCGTGGTGGTTGGCTGATAATTTTCATACTTAAATACTCATATCTGGCTCACTGTCCCGGTTATTGTTTGACACAGGTGAAAGTGGTGAAGAGATCATGGCTAGATTGAAGCGTGACCTGCTCCCAACATTACGGAATGGTCTTCTATGCTGGCCCATTTGTGATTTTATTACTTTAAAATTTGTCCCGGTTCATCTACAGGTATATTCTGGTCATATTTTCATTATTTTTCCTCCCTTCAATTTAGTAAATGAAACGTCTTTTCGAACCAAGTTGGTTAACTCGAGATCAATAGACTGGACTAGGCACTGTAACAGTACTAAATATGCGGCTTAATTTTCTTATGTTCAATTGCAGCCATTAACGAACAGTTCGTTTGCGTACTTATGGACGATTTATTTGACATATGTTGCGAGCTTGAGAAAAACAAGTGCGGAGTTGTGATGAGGTATTGCCAGTTAGGTTAAAAGAATAAACAAATATTAGTGAACTATCTGGTAGAAAGGAGAATTCTTTATCTAAAACTTGGGCCCTTTTGTCAGCTCAAGCAAGTGTAAGTTGGTAAGAAATTTCTTTATTTTCTATGTAGCTAGCATTTAGCATGTAGGCATATCCTTGGCTTTGGCAAAGTTCTCTTTACTGGAGATCGTGTAGTCGACTCAGACTTTAAATTCATTCATTTATTTTTTGAAGAATCAATTTATTTTTTTATACAATTTAGAATGCATGGTTTCTGCTTCAACTAGAATTATATATAGACTAAAAAGTTTATCATTTCACAGAGGATCACCATTTTGTGGTCAGAATAGATTGAGCTATTTAAATGTTAAATATTTATCAAATAATTTTGTAAGAGTATTTCTTAAACGGATATTTATATTGCTTCTATGTGTTAGTCTTATAATAATCACTCCTCTGACATATAAAATATTGAATTTTATTTTTACATCTATTTATAATCTATGTTTTTAACTTTATTTATTTGTCCTCTATCAAAAATCATAAAATATCTTTTAGAGAAGATTTTTTTGATATTATAAAATATCTACGGTATTAACTTATACTTTTGATGATGTTCATAAAATTGAAGTCAATTTGTTATCTAAGCAAAGACACAACAACATTTTATTAGAACAAACCCAGAAAAAAATGATAAATAATTAGTGATAGTAATTAGTAAATGGTGCAGTATTCTAAATTTAAAGTTTCAAGTAGCCAGCAAAAAAACTGTGTGTTGTGATGAGAAGATATTTTTGAAAATATAAACAAGTAAAAATATGGACCAAAAAGTTTTTGTAAATTCAAAATAAAAAATAAATCAGTATCCGTATGTATATCAAGGTAACTTTGAAATATAAACCAGCCAAAACATGGATCAAGAATTTTGTTACCTCAAGATTAAAAAAATAATCAGCATCATGGACCAACCTCTTTGTAAATTTTCAAATAAAAATATATCGAAATTTATAATATATGTGAGTATTATAGATTAATTTATAATTTTTTTAAATAATATATGTAAAGGTTTCAAACTTAAAAGAAAATAAAGTCATGAATTAAATAAGGAAGCGAAATAATGAAGTTTAGAGTTCACATTTCTTACACAATAATTTAGAATACCCAATAGAGTTACGAGAATGTCCATTTTAAAAGAAACAAACGAAAATCGAAGAAATAAACGAAAAATAATATACTAGCATTTTAGACGACCTTCACTAATTTTTAAAGAAAGTCCGGGTGGTGAACTATTCACAATTCTTTTATTAATCGGGATCTG